ATACTATTTTGGGGGTTCCTTCATATAAAGTTACTATTATATACTATGACTGGCCCCAAGACCCTATTCTAATTGTTAAGGCCCCTATATTAGGCTTTGGGGTTTGGGACTTGGGCTTTACACGATCTTATAAAAGAAGGTTGAAGGACTTTGGGTTCAGGTCAAACGACCACCGACCATGATCTAGTTAGATGGTACCTTGCCTATTTAGGTGTATGGCACACCCAGACCCCGCCCTGGGATAATCTATCTTTCGCGAATTCGAGATTCAGCACGGCTTCCTAACAAGTAGCCTGACTTCTCAGAGATGGGATAACACGATCGCGCATGCGCGCGAAGGCTGTGAAGCTTGGTGTAATCTACTGAACTGCTCTGCAAGATGAAAAAATCAAGCCAATTTTATGTCCAGCCTACATGATTCTGTAAACCAACATCCGAATTCCCAGACCCTAGACCCTAAACCCTAAACCCTAGGCCCTAAACCCTAAACCCCTAAACCCTAAACCATAAACCCTAAACCCTAAACTTTATGGGCATCTCTTACGGATGCTTCATGGGTGTGAAGAAAGTACGAGAGATGAACGCAACGTGAACCAAGTCGTACGCAAAGTTCTGAGACGCCAGTAATACTGATAGTCATAACAGTAAGAATCATGAGAGAGTCCAGTAGAATAGGGTATGGGGGGGAATCTTATAGTATAATTTAGCATAATCATATACTGAGGAACCCGCAGGGGCAACGACTTCACCAACGTCCGCTTCAACTTCCCACTGTCATAATGTAATCATTGTCCATGAGGAGGTTTGTATCATATTTATGCTAGACTTACAACCCTTAACCCCAAAACGCTGAACCAAATCCTACAAGGATGCCCCTGCCTAGTTAGCTGTATTGCACCTAGATTGAAGTAAGTATTATTCCTAGCAGGGTAACTTAGGTTGGGATCTTGGGGCGGATATACTAGTATTGGGTTCGAGATCTTAAGATATCCTAGGGTGGGATCTGGGTGTTGCCATACACGCAAATAGGTAAGGAATCATCTAGCTAACCTGAGGGTTTGAATTGAAGGGTGTAAGGAATCTGTCTTAGCCAATGCCGTGACGTGCCAGTGCACCAGTAGTTGGCTGCATGGCTCTGTTCTAGCCATCGCGTCATCGCTGCTACGTGTTCAACCCTAACCCTGAACTCAAAGCAAGCCATTGAACCTTAATCCAAACCCCACAGCCCCCAACCGGCACAGCTTTTTCGGAAGCAAACATGGCAAGACACTTTGCAAACGAAGCCCTAAGGAACCCTATAGGACCCTCATAAAACTTAAAGAACCCATATACAGCCATGGGGACTTTAACAGGGGAATATCAAGGTATAAGTATAATACGAAACTCTGAGGAAAAGTATTGCCAATTATTCAAGCTAGCTACGTCATAGAACCCTCAAGACCTCATGACCCTAAATGCATTAAAATGAAGCTTCCCTAAACCCGAAACTTCCCACACCCCTAAACCCTAAACCCTAAACCCCTAAACCCCTAAACCCCTAAACGCTAAACCCTCGACCCTAAACCCTAAACCCTAAACCCTAAACCCTAAACCCTAAACCCTAAACCCTGAACCCTGAACCCTAAACCCCTAAACCTCTAAACGCTAAACCTTCGACCCTAAGCTTCCTCAGGTTCGCAGAACAAGAGGCCCGCCTGGAGAGCGTCGTGGCTCAGCTGGCCTCTGAGCTGCCCGGCCACAGATCGTAGGGTTTTACTTGTGGGTTTAGGGTTTAGGGTTCCTGGGTTTAGGGTTTAGGGTTCAGGGTTCCTGGGTTTAGGGTTTGGGGTTTAGGGTTCCTGGGTATAGGGTTTAGGGTTTATTCAGGGTTTAAGGTTTAGGGTTTGGGGTTTATTTATGGTTTAAGGTTTAGGGTGTCGGGTCAGGGTTTACTTAAAGGGTTTCTGGGTTTAGGGTTTAGGGTTCCCGGATTCGGGGTTCGGGTTTTATTTAGGGTTTAGGGTTTTCGGGTTTACTTAAAGGGTTTCTGGGTTTAGGGTTCCTGGGTTCAAGGTTTGGGGTTTAGGGTTCCTGGGTCCAGGGTTTAGGGTTAAAAGATCCTGGGACTTAGTAGCTTTAAAGGGTTCCTTAAA